TGTTTTGTTTCAGCAACCAGAGAAAAGCACCTAGAACAGTCACATGGTGTGCCTCACCTTCAGGAGGAAGGACTCATGTATATTGTGAATAATTTCTACTGTCAATCTTTCTCCCATCCTTTCTCAAAGGGACCAACAGCAGCAACAATAAGGTGTTTCTAAAATTCAAAATCCAGACATTGAATAGGATCCTGAAGCTCAGAAAAAAATAGTAAGAACCAAAAAAATGGAGCTACATCAAATTAAAAACCTTCTACAAAATAGAGTACACCAATATGAATGAAGAGATTGCCTTTAGGATGGCAAAAAATCTTGGCAGCTAATATTGCAATAGGGGCTAATATCTAGGATATATAAAAATCTAAAAAGCCCCTTAACATCAATATATCAGATAATATAATCAATAAATAGACAAAATGAACAGACACTTTTTAAAAGAAGTACAACGGGCCAATAAATATATTTTAATTTCTTAAGCCACTTTATCTACCATGTGAATGCAAATCAAAATTACATTAGGATTTCCTCTCACTCCAGTCAGAATACAAAACACCAAGTGCCTGCCTAGCTCAGTTGGTAGAGCATAAGAATATAAAACACCACATATGCTGGTGAGGATACATGGAAACAGGAAATGGCCCACATTGCTGGTAGAAATGCTAATTAAGAAAGACATTATAAAAATCAGTACAGGAATGTAATTTCATCAAACAGCCTAAATCTAAAGCGACAGTTATACCTAGATACATCACACCTTGTTAGGTTCATTTTACCCATCAAAAGTCACCGTTCTGAGTTCACAGCCTCAGTCATTAGTGGATTTTTCCTTAGAACCTACCTAATAATTATTTTTGGAAACCTTCACAATTTTGTGGAAACCACAATTACACGCCACAGCAGATTTTTTGGTGGGAGGTTTGCAAGTAGCCAATGCAAGAGCAGTCTTCAGTTCTGCTTGCTGCGGCTTGACTGCTGCCCTGTGATCCCTATCTGACAGATACACAAGTTTCCTGCATCGTAACAGGCCGATGCATGTAGCTCTCTCGAGTGCTATTGGTTTGTCCTTCTTAATGGCCTAAGATCCCTAAGATGCAGCCAAAATGCGCTGCACCTTAAGGTTTTGTTAATACAGTACTTTATTGAATTAAATTATGTAACTGTGGGAGACATCGTATATTTAAGGTTTAAATGATAAAAATGGGCATTTGTATGCATTTTTCTGACCTTATTTGAAATTCATATTTGTTTCACAATTCATGGGAGCTCTAGGAATGTAACCCCCATGAACTTCAGAAGTCCCGTATACTCCAAGGAATTAAATTAGCATCTTATTGACATAGCTGTTTACACATAATTCACAAGAATGAAGCTATGCAAGCAAACGTGGTACCCATAAAATGCATGAAAGGTTCAGAAATACTGGTATGTATACATAATGGAGTACTGCTGTACCATAAAGAAGGATAAATGGAATCATTTATAGGCAATTGGATGCACTTTGAGACCATAGATTAACTGAAATAAATCATGCATAAAGCTTAAATATGTCATTGTTTCTCTTATATGAGAAGGCAAAAATATAAATAAATTAAAGAGTAAAATTAAATGTAAATAGTAAGAGTCACAGATTGATCTTTTGCAAAAGGTGGTTGGAGGGAAGAGAATAAAGAGGGATAGGGATGAAAAGAGAATTTACATGTGCTATGTTACATGTGCCAACTCCCTGTGAAGGATGAGGATATTATGTCCTGTGGACACATACTAATAAACATAAAATTTTAAAAAGGAGAATGCTGCACAGAAGCAGGGAATGCAATTAGATATATATGTCTCTCTGCCACTTGCTCTTCGAGAAGACCTCCATATCTTTTAGTCTTTTCAGCCTTCAGAGGTCATGAAAATGTAAAAGCATCTCCCATAACTTTAAAGGTCTCTCTGGAGATATTTACAAGAAAGTTGTAACTTTCTTTGTTAATGAGCAACTATGAAAAAAGTTCTTCTGATGTCCTTGGTTCCCCAAACCTCCAGGGTCATTTTCAATACAGGTGCAATGATAATTGCAATTCACAGAGGAGGGAGGTTACAGATGGATAAACCTTTATGTGAGGGTCTAGCTGCCTCCCTCACCTGCACTGCTGGTTGTGCTGAGCACCGCAAGGAACCCGACTTCTTGAAGAGAGCAGGTGTCAGGTGAGTAGTTTGTATTTCAGCCTCAACGGTAGAGTCAGTAAGGAAAGAGAGTGTGACTAAGTGCTTACATGAGGATCAGGTATTGTGGGGTGGGAACAGGTTAAGAGCAAAGGTAGGCAAGGACAGAAGTAAGTCTTTCATTGTGTGCTGTGCTAGAGAGAGAAATGAGGGTCTTGCAACCCATACCACTTCCTGGTGCCTTGTAGAGTAATTAAAACTTTACTGTGGATGAACATTTGTGAATTATCACCACGATAAAGAAATAGGGCTTTAGGAACTGAAGAAATGGAGTACTGAAACATAGCCGTTCTTCACAGAAATTAGAGAATAAAGGATAAATTCATAGCTCTTTCTTCATCCCTTTGATTCTTTTTTTTCTGTCTTTCTTTCTTTCCTTCTTTCTTTCCTTCCTTCTTTCTTTCTTTCTTTCTTTCTTTCTTTCTTTCTTTCTTTCTTTCTTTCTTTCTTTCTTTCTTTCCTTCTTTCTTTCTTTCTCCTTTTCTCTGTCTCTCTCTTTCTCTTTCTCTGTCTCTGTCTCTGTCTCTCTCGGTCTCTATCTCTGTCTCTCTCTCTCTCCCTACAAACAGGTATTTTGAGACAAGGTCTCATTATGTAGTTCAGGATGGCCTTGAATTCACCATGTCACCCAGGCTGGCCTCAAACTCGCAACAATCCTGCTTAAGCCTCCTAAGTTTTATTTTTGGCCAATCTGCCTTCATTCACATAGCTGTGAAGAACCCTGAATACAGTGACTCCTGGCACATTCTGTTTTAAAGGGAGTCAAGTTGCACCTCTCTACTCAGCACCAGACACCTTCAGATTTCATCACGGTTCGCAGGTTTGAACTTTTCTTCTGTCCTCACAGATTTGCACCGTATGTGCTCCGGCATAACCTGTGTCTTGAGTTTCTTTAGCCATGGTGGTGAGCCCCAGGCACTGCAGAAGTACAGAACTTCATATAAATTTTCCCAATTACAAATGTTTGCCCACATTTTTTAATGTTTTAATCTACTGTATTCTGTACTTGTATTTCATAGTTTGTGTGTGTTTGTGATACATAATGACTTTCACCTTGGAGAATCAGTTCATATACAAATCATATCTTGGTCACTTTTACATACTAATCTTTCCCTGGTCCTTCCCTGTACTCTTGTCCTCAGATTTTCATGCTCTCACTTTTTATTTTGTTTGTGATTGCCAAATGGACCACATACATATCTCAAAAATGATTCAGAGCACTATTTTGCTTGATCCCATGACAAAATTAGCGTCGAAATACACACCTTTAAAAAAAAAAATAAAACAAAAAATGAAGTGCACCACTGCCATTCTTCTGAGAAGTGTCTTATTCACATCATCCACTGTGCTTGTTGGTGCATGTGAGTTTCACCCTGTACAGACATGTGTGGCACATCACACATATTCTTAGCAGTAACACCTCTTCCAGATAATTACTCTGACTTCTTTTAGTGACAAGTATGTGTAAAGAGCGATAGAGCCATCTCAGCTGGTGAGAGCACAGTTGAGCAGAAGTTCACAAATGGAACACAATTCTCTGTGTAACAGATAGACCAAGACACACGTAGTATGGTCATTTGCCCAAAGTTCCCATCTATCTCCTCTCAGTAACTAACCCCAAGGTCATGGTATTCTTGCACATACTTGAAGAGTGGAGCAATAAAACATAGGCTTGCATCATTTCTCATGTTTCAGATATTGCATCACTAATGTCTGCTCAATACTTTATATAAATGGACTCTGGAATTTTTTATATTTGTGATTTGTATGCCCTTCATGAGACCTTTAGAGAATTCAATTTAATTACTGAATATTATTCATGTTTTTCATTAGCATTGCTACGTTTCATTTCATGGCATGAATGTCAGTTCATTGGGCATGTTAGTGGGCATGAAGATAGTTTTGAGTTTAGGGCTACTGTGAGTCAGTATTCATGTTACTATAGAGAATGTGTAGGTTTTGTCTCCGTGATGCATTTATGATTGTTTCTGAGTAAATTTATAGAAATGAAATTATTACAACATAAGGTGGCATTTCAAACACTTATATAGATGCTACTGAACAGTTTCCCAAAATACTTGTACCTACTTTACACAAAAAATTTCATAGTTTATTGATATTCTTACCAACTTTGCAATTTTCTGTCATTGGAATTTTACCTTTCTGGATGGTGTATGATGGTATCATTTAGTGATCTTACTTGAGTTTTTCTGGTTAATGAGGACACAAACGCTTAGAGTATTCTCATTACCAGCTAAATAAATTCTTTTTCAGGAATTGAACCTGAAATATTTTTTCAATTTTTTATTTTTGCATCATCTGTAGGAATTCTTTAAGATGAATCCATGTGTGTCTGTGTCTGTTTTTTCCCTTTCTGTTCTAGCTCCCTGTTTTTCTGACTCTGTCATGCCCTCATTCCACACAACTATGTTTGTATTTTGATGAAAATAGTTCTGTCACATCATCCATATGGTTAAGATGTTTTATAAGAAATAATTTTATATCCTTTGATCACACAAATAATTTTTACTAAAATGTTTTATATTTATCTTAAATATTTACACTAGAATTTGACTTTGATCATACTTAAGCTTTTCTCTCGTGTGAATAAGGTAAGTTTTAGGTCTTACTGAAAATGTTGGAATTTCACTCTTTCCATGTTGTCCTTTCTCCCCCCAGGTTAACAAGGACTCCTGCATAGCAATGGCTGAAAATGTGCAGAGAATTCTGTCTGTGTCCTCTTGCTTCTTGAAACAGTTCTAATTCCACAAAAGCACAACACTAAAGTAATTTTTGGCATTAAATCTCTACAATGAGCCTTGCTCAGAGAAATGATTGTCAGCATAATTCAAAAGAAATTTTAGAAGGAAATGACAAAATAGCTTGCAGGGATTTGGCACTAGGAATACTCTTTTTGTCACAGACTGTGATTGGAATTCTGGGAAATTTTTCTCTTCTATACCATTATGTTTTCCTTCACCATAGGCAAAGCAGATTGAGATTTATAGATTTGATTCTCATGCACTTGTGTATAGCTAATTCTTTAGTTATTCTTTCAAATGGATCTTCCCAGACAATAGTAGCCTTTGGGTCGAAATATTTATTCAATGAATTTGGTTGCCATGTTACCTTGTACGTCTTCAGAGTGGGCACAACGATGTCAATTTGTAGTGTATGTTTCTTGAGTGTCTTCCAGACAATTATAATCAGCCCCACTAACTCCTGTTGGAAATATCATAAAATAAAATCTCCAAAATACATTGGCTTCATCATATCTTTCTGCTGGTTGCTACATATGGGAGTAAATTTCATTTTTCCTCTGTATATGTTACATGCATCTGGGAAACTAGAAAGCAGAAACATCACAAAGGAAAGACATCTGGGATTCTGTGCTGTTGTAGATTATGGGACTACCATGAACTCAGTCTATATTGCATTAGTAGTATTGCCTGAGGTTTCTCTTATTGTGCTAACAATATGGGCCAGTGGTTCTACTATTTTTGTCCTGTACAGACATAAACAGCAGGTTAAGCACATTCATTGCACTAATGTTTCCCTCAGATCCCCTGAGTTGAGAGCCACCAAAAGCATCCTTCTCCTGGCAAGCACATTTGTAACATTTTACATCATCTCCTCCATCTTTCACAGTTTCATTGCCCTTTTTTATAACCTCAGTTGGTGGTTGGTGAATATCTCTTGCCTCATTTCTCTGTGTTTTCCAACTATCAGCCCCTTTCTGGTCATGAGTCAGGATTCCTCTATATCCGTGTTCTGGTTTGTCTGGATAAGAAACACGAAACATCTCTTTTCAGCAGAAATATATAATTGTATATTTTCTCGATCCTTTGTGTTGTGTACTCCTCAATTCATTATGAAAGGCACTACCTAATTGCAATGAGAGATCACGTATCTTTCTTAAGAGGATTGCTGCACATTTCAGTTGGTTGAATGTGGGACCTTCATGGGAATAATGGGTATGAATAAAGCACATTGTCTCAATTTTGGTGCACAGTGTCCTGTTCATATCTATCTGAAAAAGTGTTTCTTTAGGCAAATTGAATGTATTTACTTCTAACTGTTGGCTTGACCGATGACAATCTTTACTAATTGTTTGCTCAAGAAAGGATGCTAAAAGTGAGTATGATGAAGAGATGGGTGACAGACACAGGTTTAGAAAAATCTTCCTGTGGGTTTTCTTTGTCTTTTTGGCAGATCCATATGCTGATTTTTGAGTCAACTGTCTTTTCTTGTTTTTTTTTCCAACAAAGAACCTTGGATGAAATCGATAATGTCAATGTCTAGGGTGGAAAATAGATGTACTTACTATGTAGGGATAGAAGACACTGGCGACAGAACCCCAAACACAGGGAACAAGAAGTGTGTAGATCTATGGAAAATAATATGCCAGAGAACTGTGCAGGCCCTCAAACTACTTTAATAGATGTCCCCTGAGTGATGCAGAATACCTTCAAAAATTAAGTGAGAGTATCAGCCATTAAAGGCTCCACTTATATGCTACGCCCCCTCCACTGTGAATATGGGTTGTCAGTCTTCCGAAACATTAATATCTTTTAAACCATTTTGCCCAGAACATTGATGCTATAGCTAGTTCCTAAATTGTTCCACCACATTCATACAGAAACCATAGCCTTTGCTCTCTCAATACTTCATAACTAGAATGTTAAGACAGTCTCCTTGGGGTTTGCAACCAGTGGAGGACAGAAACACTGTATGAATGTGTTGGTGTTCCTGTCTCCCTAAGCTGAAGGCTTCAAAGCTCCTGAGTAAGAATTTGTTTCTTACTGAAAGGGCAGATAATCTGAGGATACTGAACAGTGGAGAGCATCAAGGAGACAATGTGGAATTTTGACCTTCCATGCAAAGGAGGAAACTCTACATCGGAATTATGTGGAGAAGAAAACCTGAATATTTTGCTGTTTCTGATTTCTGTGATAAAATGTCTGATGCTCAATAATTTACAGGGGAAAGTGTTTTATGTATATTACAATTTTGATTGCTCAGGTCCATGCAACAATATCAACTCATTTCTGGTGAGAGGCCCGTGCAGTACCACACAATGGCTGGTATTATCATAGCATGGTTGTGTACAGGAGGAAGAGATTACAAGTGGGAAGGAATCTGAGGGGACAAAGAGTCTAGGCTTTCCATCTCCTAACAAGTCTCTCATGTGAATTAATCAGGGTCCTCCAAAAGCTCCTTTTAAAATTTCCAATGTCAGGTTCCCCCATGACCTATAATCTCAGAGTAGGTCTCCATCACAAATATTTTCTAATAAAATACCTTTGCAAGATAAACCTTATCCAAACCTGAACACCCTGAGAGCAAGACAATCCACCTCTGTTACAAAGAGTGTAAGCTCTATTGTGTTAGTTTCCAAAGCTGGCACAAGGTGTCTTACCAAGGGATCTTAAAGTATTAAGTTAAGCTAATTTGACTCATGGTGTCAGCAGTTTTAGACCATGGTCAATTTTCTCCAACACACAATCATCACAGTGGAAGTTCATAGCCAAAGGACATCAGAGAAGGGCAAGTAGGAGTAATGGTACTCACTTTCTGGCAGCCCGGATACAGAGATTGAGAGAGCCAGGGTGGAAGGAACCTGAAACTGGTTATACCTTTCAAAGTCATGGCATCCAGTGACCTACTTCCTTCAACAGGGCTAAACTCTTAAAATCTCATTAGGCTATGAATTTATTAACCTGTTGTCATTGTGAATTGTGTGACAGTAGAAATGGCTATGCAGGTAGAGAATGCTGGCTTAAGTTGCTTTCAGAATACTAAGAAATGCTATAGATTGATACAATGCAGGCTCTGTTTTCAATTTTTTTGTGGACACTCCATGTAGACTTCTACAGTGAATGTATTAATGTAAAATTTCAATTTCAAGATAGAAGGATGTTGTTTCCCTGAATTCTCTCAAACTGTGATGCTAAACTGTGGTGTCAACTTGAATAAGAAATGCCTAGTGGATTAGTTTAGGACAGTTCTGGATGTATTGAATGATCAGCTTACTGAAGAGGGAAGGCCCACTCTGGATGTGGATAGCACCAAGGAACAGGCTGGATGAAATAGAAAGAGAAAGAAGGAAGTCTGGCTTTTGCTTCTTCAGAGAAACTGCAGTCTTTACCATTGGCTTTGGACATTCATCACCAGGCTTCCAGCACAGACTCTTCAGCCTTCTATGCAGACCCTTCAGATTCATGATAGAGACCCACAGGATACCTTGCAGTGAGCTGCAGCCCTTCAACTTCATTCAAGGGGTTTTCTTTCTGTAAACTAACCCAAGTCTGGAAACTAGTTTTGCGTTGTGATTCTCTGTTTACTATGATTTGAGATCTTTTTCTGTTCATTTGTCTTTAATTTTTTCCAATTGTATAAACCTAATAAAAATTTAGTAGCCTTCCTGTCTCTTTCACATTTGGTATTGCTGTGACTTGCAAGCCAATACCATAGGCCTACAGATGTCAATCATTCGAATCATTGCTTTGCTTCTGCTGTGCATTATGGTAACTATGTGCAGCTTGTCTTTGGGAGCTGAATGTTGCCACTGGACCCCTGCCACTCTGGAATCCAATTAAACCAACAGCTTTTAATTTTTCCAATTGAATAACAGGTCCTAGTCATATGGAGAAAGTCTGGCATACAGAGAAGAGCATGACTGGGCTCTTCTGGGATGCTGGTGCTCCCCTCATGAATGTTTCTGAAAGTGTTATTACATGGTCCTCTTTCCAGATCATCCTAGTGTGAATTACTAGGTTGAACTGAGAAATGAGAACTCCTATTTCCCTGAGCATTTGAATTCCCTACAGAGTGAATCAAAGAATGTCAAGCATCTGTATCTCAATCACAGTGAACCACATTTTGATGCATACTTCTGTCCACAAGCCAAATAAAACACTAACACTTTTAAAAATTCCACAAGCTAGCCAAGCAAAAACCCAGGGACCTGAGCGGTTCTCTGTCCGCTGCCCCCCTCCCCCACTGGAGCTGATCTGAACCTCGTATACCTTCGGGAACTCTGGTGAGCTGCTGCCACCCCCACACATGAGCTTCGGAGCCAGGCAAAATCTTGGACAGCTCAAAGGGCCTGGGATTCCCTCCACAACCCTCCCCTCCTCCTATTTGGAGCTGGGCTGCACCTCAGACAGCTCTGGGAATTCTAGTGAGTCGGTTCCACCACTGCTCCACCAGTTTCAGAGCCAAGGGGAATCCCAGACAACCTCAAAGGCATTGGGTGAGCCTCCCTACCCCCACCCCATATCCTCACTGGAGCTAAGCTGAAACGTAGACAGCTTCAGGGACCTCAGTGTCTGTGCAATTACCCCCCTACACTGGTGTGTGAACTGGGTGTGGTAGTGGCAGTATATGGAGATGTGGTGACCATGACTCACCCTGTACTACACCCCAGTGGAAACAGGGCTGAAACCCAGACAATGCTGGGAACCCCTGAGTGGGAGGCAAGCTGAGCCACAGATAGCTGTGAGAGCACTGGGAGTCACACTGTGCCCACACACACACACCATCGAGGGAATCACACAGAACACTGGGGTCCTTTGGGTTCTTGCCCCACTACTATGACATCATTCTGGGAGGGAGCCTGAGCTCCAGGGAACCTTGGCATCTCTGAAAATGACAAAATGAAGGAGCAAAATGCATTCTCAGACCTCTGCCCCACCCAGAACAAGTCCATCAGATATTGACACAGATGAGCTTGGAAGTCATACACCTGAAATTTCTGAAATGATAACAACTGAAGAAAAGAAGCAACTTCATCAGGCCATAGAAGACAGCAGATCAGAAATAATCGCTGAGATAAAAAAAGAAATGATAACAATAATGAAAGAACTGGTTAGCACATGTAAGAAAACAGGAAAAAAACTAGAGGAGCATAGTAAATTAATGGAAACCTTGAATGAACACTATAGGAAAGAACTGGAATACATGAAACAGATTCAAACAGATATCCAGGAAATTAAAACGTTGATGGAAAGCTGGCAAAACTGCTTGAATGAAGATGAAGATAGACTTTCAGACCTTGAAGACAGCATTGCTATGAATGAACATGAAAGAACGGATGTCTTAAAAATAACAATTTAACAGCAGTAAGATGAAGCAAAGAAAAACAATGTAAGAGAAATGGGTTTCAATAGAACATCAGATGTCAGCACAAAAGATATAAAAAGACTATTTGTGGAAGTAATTCCCGAAAATTTCCCAAGTATGGAAAAAAAGTTGGATATTTAGGTGAGTGAGGCACATAGAACTCCAACGAGCTGTAACCAAAATAAAACTACACCTACACATATAGTTATCAAGATCCCAGAAATTCAACAAAAGGAGAGAATATTAAAAGCTGTTAGAGAAGAGGAAAAGATCACCCATAAAGGAAATCCCATCAGAATCACAGCAGATTTCTCAACACAAATCATCAAGGCAAGAAGAGCTTGGAGTTAAATATCTCATGTCCTGAAGGGAAACAGCTTCCAATCCAGATTGTTGTACCCTGCAAAGCTATTCTTCAGAATTGAGAGAGAAATAAAATATTTCCACCTGAAAGACCAACTAAAGAACTTCATGAGTGCCAAACCAACCCTACAAAGAGTACTAAAAGATATTATAGAAAGAAATTTTTAAAAACTACAACTTTAGGAACAACAACAGAACATAAACACCAAGCAGAGCAAGCAATTAAACAGAGGGAAGCAAGAGGAACCAACACCAGGAAAACAGCATGACAAAGATAAGCTAATACATATCAGTTATAACTGTTAATGTAAACGGACTCAATTCACCAACCAAAAGAAGTAGACTGGCACATTGAATCAGGAAACAAAATCCAACAAGATGCTGTATACAAGAAACACACTT